GTGGGCCCAGCAAGAACAGGAACTCACCAGTGTTCCCAGGGACACGCTGGTTCCTCGCCCCTTTAATTTTTTAAAAAAATATATTGTTATTGATCTGCTGCCTCCTGCATGCCCCGCACTGGGAACGAGCCAGCAACCTGGGCACAGCCCTGTCGGGGCACATGCGGTCCATTTCCTCCACCCGCTAAGTCTCACCCAGGAGCTCCTCCCCCGTCTTCCCGCTGGGTCACCCCGACTTCCCAGGGCCACCCCGACTTCCCGGGGCGGACCCTCCTCCCTCGGCCGTCACCTCGGGCCCCGGTTGCCCTGGTGGCCAGGACTGTCCGGCAGAATTGAATGAACCCAGTGGAGCCTGGTTTCTGGGTTCTCACCCACCGGCCAAAGCCCCTTGGCTGTGAACACGCCCCCCACAGCTGACCCCCCAGACTCTGCCCGGGCCCTAGACCCCTGGGTCCTGCAGCCCAGAGGTGGGCGCACAGCACGGCCGGGGCAGCACCCCTGCCCTGCGGCCAGGCCTAAGGCTTCCGCACACTCCCTGAGCTGCCCGCCAACTGGGTGTGTGTTGTCCTGGCCCCAAGTCCCAGTTCCCCTCACGTCCTCTCCTGTCCACCCTGTTCCTTCCAGAGGCAGCCTGACCCCTCCCTACCTCTCCTGTCTGAGAAAGAACTTCCCATGGGGCCTTGCTGGGCCTGGGCAGGAGAAAGTGGGAGACAGCGGCGAGCTGTGGGCTTGCCGCCGCCCCCCCCCGCTCCCTGCGGGCCTCAGGGAGGCTGTGTCGCAGGGGAACCCAGGTCCCCCACATTTGGCCACGGCTGGGACAGGGCTCCCCGGCCGTCACAGAACAGATCAGAGCAGAACAGGGTTCCCACGTCTGTTTATTTGAGGCACCAAAGCAGGAGGCTCCAGCCTGAGGGGGGCGGTGGGGCCCAGCTGGCTGTGGGCGGGGGAGCCGATTCCTGGGCCTGTGGCTGCTAGAGTGGGGTGTGGCCTACGGGGAGCCCCAGAATTGGCTCTGCTTGGAGCCCCGGGCCTTGCCTGCCCCCCAAGCACAGCCCCCAAGGCCTCACAGATCCCTGTGCCTACAGCTGGGCGCCCACACCCCAGCACCCCCTTCCAGGCCACCGTCAGGGCGGACTGGCCTGATGGACAGGGCCTGGGCTTGGGCCTCACGCAGTGTGTCCCCCCAAGACTCAGGTATAGCTGCTGACCCACAGGCCCCAGGGGGCCCCTCTGAGGAGCTCACATCATGGACCCTGGAGTGAGGGCAGGCGGTGCCGCTGGGGGCAGGTGTAGGTGCGGGGGACAGGCCTGCAGAGGAGACGAAGGCTGGGAGGGATGGGGTCGGCGGTGTGAGGAGTGAGGGGCTGGGCGGGGCGGGGCTTTTCTTCCTGAGCGGTGGG